ATTGCCAGCCATGGACAGAAACTGATGTATCGATAGTGCTTTTGGCAATGGCGCCTCAATCACTGCATATGTTACATCAGGAGGTAAAGCCACTTTAATGACATAAAAAACTAACATGGAACTCTAACATCAGTTTTCCATACATCTTTGAATTCCACATCCGTGTCATTGATGTAGAACAAATCCTTATGCCCAGCAGCTTTCTTGAATCGCAGAGGACCACGAGAGGTAAAACCATATATTGGCTGCAGCACAACAGAAAAACAGCCATAAGCAAAGGATATTGAATGATGAAACCAAAAATAACTAACTTGCTGATTTCCCCAGGTATTTCTGGTTTTATCAGCGGCCTCTACAGACTAACACAAAAATGACCCACAATTCACACATGTGCACAGGTGAAGAGAACAATAGAAACAAAGAGCACCAAGGCGCATGATAACATCATATACGTAGCACAAGATCATCAATAAATGGTTTGACATAGATGCTTAAAAGTAAGAACAAGCAAAAGAAAACATTGAAAGAGACATATCAATCATCTGTTTGTATACTGGAAAATAAGTTATATAGACATCTCTCCAACAATTGGTTAGTAAAGAAGGAATGATATCAAAACCACTCACCTCCACATTTCTCAAATTAAGAGCACTATCTACATCTTCTGCTGTCAAAGTTGTTCTCCTGGAGTGACGCATGCATTTAATAGCTTCCTGCTAATTCAACACCAGTAAAAATTTTAGTCTCCTCTCAGTCCCAACAGCCTTGCAAATGACTATTCTAAGCTAACATCTCCATCCCTAATGCCCTGGTATACTCCCTTCATTTTGTAACCCAAAGTATATAGCACACCAAGTAAAATCCTCGACTCTCACTTCTGCAACCACAAGTCAGTCATTCTATTTCTAAATTTGGCAATTACATTCACATGCATTTAGACCAACAGTAACTTCTCCATGGCAGACACCACAACTAATCATCACTAGATTTTTAGCCATAATAAGCTCCTTCTGCGTACTTACATTCATTTACATACACGCACTCGCCCACACATAAAACAGTAACTTGATAGAAAGTCTTAGACCTGCATAATTTCGCGAACCCGATACTCCACATCAGGGGCGAGAGCTAGCGCAACATCTGGAGAGAAATTGGTGATTCCGATACTCTGCGCAATTACCTCTATTGCCTCTTTAGCCACTATGCTCATTGTTCTCCTTTCTTTATGTTTTCACTTCAACTTGAACTTCATTAATATACTGCAACCAACTATCTCCAAAGAATGAAAACGCCAGCCTAAGTTACTACAAACAATTTGAAGCAAAAATTTTCAATTCTATTCAAACAAAAATCCGAAAGAACACAATTTACTAACATCAAAATTTATAATAAATATGCATAGATATGGTGTAAAATAATATGAAAATTGAGAAATATTGGCGATCGCATGCCTGAAAAAAAGTTTTCAACCTGAATTTAGGGTTAACCGTAAACAACATTCAACCAAGATTCTAAAACAAAAGAACCGCTGGGCCCGGTCACGATCGCATTACTTGGGCTTCTTTTGGGCTGAGATTAGCCGATCATCTGTGTTAATTCGGATAATTAGGCTTCAAAACAAGCCCAAAAAATGAAACCAGAAAGGGGGGAAATTTCAGATTAACAAACTTTTCAGGAGATGATTGTTATGTTCCTCTTTCTGCAAGGGATTATGATTTTGAATGGAATTATGGGTTCTTTGGTTTGGTGTGCATACCTTACTTGATTAGTAATATATATATATATATATTTACATAATATATGTACTTTTGCTCATATATATACATGTCAAATCTATTTACTGATATAACAACTACTAATTGATATAAATGTTAGTTTGAATTCACGTAAATAATTTCCAGTTCATACTTCTCTCTCTTCTTTATGTTTTAACGGATCAAAGTGTTAAATTGAATATACAAGTGATATTATACTTACACACAAACTAATTAAAAATTATCACGTCTTATTAATAATATTATGCTTAACGACATTAACCGCTGATTAAGGAGATATTAAATTAATTTTTTTAAAAAAAAAATAATAATTTAACCGAAAGTATAAGGTTTGGGGAGATTAATAATTGGGCAATTAATTTAATCTACTTCGCAGAAATATAATTTGTAAAAAGGGGTTATAATTAAATTTTGTATATTTTCATAATTAAACATTATTTTTATACAATACCATAATTTTTTTTTTTTTTTTTTTTTTTACTGAAAACACGCACAGCAAAATAAGTTTTAACTGTGGGGCTGATATGTCATTCTCATTGATATTTTTGAAAATAATACACCATATTTTACAAAATTGAGATATCTAATATTTATTTATTTTGTATTATTATAAACAGTTTATCATCCCTCAAAAAGAATATACAGGCTACACCATAGTTGAAAATTCACTACTAATTACAAGCCATGATTTATACCACACCAGTTACTTATTTATTATTAGGTTGTCACAATCTAATGACAAAAATTGTGCAAGTCAAAGGAGTTCGATCCAGATTCAAGTGTCGGAAGACAAGGCGATCGAATCTTCCCCAAAGCCGCAAAAACTCCTCGTTTCTAAAGTTTGAGGACATCTTACACAGTGAAGAAGAAACAGACGAGAGAAAATAATACTTCAAGTACAGTACTTACTGTACCACGACACTTAAAATTACTCATCATAACAATTTACAGGAGTTGTTTAAACACCTCAGAAAATCCTTCACTTCATACAAGACGGTGTGTAAAGAAAACAAGCCAGCCAAATGAGTACTTCCGAACATGGTACCAACAATCGAAAACCATTAACACAGACACAAACACACACATGAAAACAACAAGAGAAGCTTCTCGCTGCCTTTTGTTTGTTCTTGTTGTTCTCATCATTGTTGTTGGAATTACAAATATTTGATCAAAAGCCATATCACAACAATCAGACCCACAATCCCAATAACGGATAAGAGCATGCACATGCAGGAGCAACCACCTTTGGTGCGCTTGTTCAAAATTGCCAGGTTCTTCTGAACTCGCTGTCACAGAAAAAAACCAAAGGATAATTACTGAGCTGCAATGATTGATTTCATTCAGGGCAAAATTTAAGGAACCTATGGCAGTTTATTTGGATAACTGGTAAATAAATAAAGCAAGTCGCCAAGCATTTACAAATTTCTAACATATATTTTTGTTTACCTAATATTATTTTAATATTAGATCATCCTGAGTATACTTCTGGAGCATAATGGTTCATTCTTATATTCCTTCAAAGACAGATGGTTTTTTATTCCAGTCAGGTAATTTCTAGTCCTTTTTATTCACCAAGCATAAGATAACCACAGCATAATGCTTAATTCTTATATTCCTTCAAAGACAGATGGTCTTTTATTCCAGTCAGGTAATTTCTAGTCCATTTTATTCACCAAGTATAAGATAATCACAGCATTCTTCTACGCAGAATGAATACTAGCAAATATGCTTCTCAGTATGAGAGATATTAAGAATTACCCGTAGGCGCGAATCAGTAACATCCACATGTTGGTCTAAGTTATCCTGTAAAGTGGGAGTGGAAGCTTAAAGTTAATAAAAAAAGGAACAATGTGAAAAATAGAAACAAACAAGAGAACCAATATGGAAAACCATACAATAAGCCTTGTGTGCAGGTCAAGTTCCTCATTGACTGCCAACGCAATATGCTTGGTACTTATTACTGTCTCCTCCAGCTTCTCAAGGCCCTCATCTTGCTCTGTTCACAGAATAATGCCCAATGATGGCACAGCTAAAAACAAGAAACAATCATAATAAGAGAAATGTTAAGAAGCTATAACAACTTGCCCCTCATAATATGCCTCTGAAGACCAACAAGGCCTTGGTTGTCCAAGCCAGTTGTTCTGCTCATGACATCTTCTGATTTCTGTTCTGGTCCAAGCAAGCTGTCTCTGTTAGCAAACCCTGACATGTTCAACGTGGAAGCCATTTGATTTGTTTTTGACTTCAAATTAGCAAGCATGTCTTTGCGACGGTTCATCTCTTTCTCTGAACTGAGTAGAAAAATAGGGAGCATTTAACAAACACCATGCAGTAACAGTAACCAGATTCATCATATGTATCAAGCCATCAAATCATATTAAAACAGCATCTTGAACAGGAAAACTAACAACATTTTTCTTTACAGCAAAATCCAGAAATCAAAGATTCCATGATGCAGAAAGATCTTGCACCAAGAACTTACAGGAAACGAACTTTCAATTTATGAAACAAGCTTAAAAAACTTTATCAAACATGATAGAATTCTTAGAATATAGATATTAAGGAGACAAAAACAAGATTTGAAGAGGAATAGGAGAAAATTAAGAGATAAACTTATATATCCCATGCTGCTCTCTGTCAATTCTTCCCTTTTCCCCACACCATGTATCCACATATATAGTTCAATGATGCCAAAGAATGAACAAGAAACTTTGTGATCAATTGTACTCATCACAATTTGCACAGGTTTAGTTTCCTTTCTTCTTAACCAAGTAAATCCAAATGCTTTCAAGGGGAAAAGAAGTACCAGACCCTGATGTGTCCTTCTATAACCAACTGGAGTATTGATATTACATCATTTAAAGTTTTTGTTTGGCATAGGCATCTACTATAGAAAAGCGGAATCTCATGAGGCAAACAATGCAAACAATCAAGATAAGTCTTTAGTACATCTCATGCACGTAAAAAAAAGACACTAACTCATTCATAAATAAAAAAGGAAAAAAATAATGGGTTAAAAAACAAATTGCAGGATCAAAGATGAACCACAATAGACGCAGAATTGCAGCTAGAAGCCATAGAAGCTTTGTTCTTATCAAGCCAGCATCTCATTAAAAATAGAGCTCCTTGGAACACCAACATGCCATAACTCAGCGTGTATAAACTTAAATAAACGGACAACAATAATGAATACAAAGATACCAGAAGCCCTTGAGAATATCACATGCATAATCTTAAAATAACAGGAAAATTGCTTAATCCAGTATCAGATACCCTTTAGTATGCACTATGCAATTCAGTTTAAGGTTCCTTACATGGGCTGCTTTCCTGGAAGCTTAGATAGAAGAGACTGCAGACTGTCTAATCTAGTTCCAAGAATGGTAATCTTCCTCCGTATTGCAGATGCATGCCGCTGACTGCCAGGTTCTGATGCAGGAAAAGAACCCCGTTCTGATATCATGCCATTGATATCATCTGCGAGTTTTACTGCTTCATGGTACTCTTTCATCCATGAATCTGAAGAAGACGCCATTAACCTATAAAATACTTCAAACGTCAAACCCAATCAAACCTGATTGGAAACTCGAAATGGCATTGACATGTAAACTCAAACTGGTTAGATAAAGTCAAAATCAAGTTTCGCTAAAGAACAAAACAGATTGTTTCAGAGCTCAGTTAATGTAAAATTCCCAAGTCTGGAACAATTATTTTTATTATAAGGAAAATAGTCACGTGTCAAGATCAATTAAAACAATTTAAGAAGACTGTTACTATCCATCCAACATCATAAATGATGAGAAAGAAAGAAGCAAGTCTTAAAAGAGAGGAAGCATTACAAAGCCCTGCCAACCCCCGCCCCCAGCCGCCCATAGATACATTCTCCGTTCTCCGCATTCCAGCTTCAGTTGTGAAGTGAAACCAAAACAAAATGTCATGACAGAGACCTCAAAAGACCAAAACAAATTAACCAAAGCAAACCTAAATTCTCACTCGATTGCGAAAAAATTTTAACCTAGGTTACTAAATACCTTCAACTACACAGCTTAGCAAACAGAAATCACGAAAAGATAAAAAAATCTTCCCTCCAAGCAACGATGATTGAATATCCTCGCAGTAAATTCAAGAAATCGCTAGTTTAAACCCCAAAATTTTTTCAAGAATCCCCAAAAGTAACAAAATCAAATAGCAAACCACACAGGACAACAACCAATTACAACAAATTAAAAGATGGGATCAGCGAAAGAGGGATCAACTGAGTATAATCCCTTTGGTCGTCAATTGAGATCAAACTAACATTGAAAATTGAAATTACAAAGAAAAGGAGATCACTTACTCGTAGATTTTGGAAATCCGGATTGCAAACGAGGTTTTTGCAGAAGAAAAATCAGGATTAAATTTAGGGTTGGAGGGTCAAAAAGAAAGTGGATTTAATGGGCAAAAAGACAACGCAACCATCAACACGCATTGCAGGCCAGCTCCTGTCCGGTCGCGTCGTCCTTTCCAATTCAATTAGTTTTGATTACAGCATTATTTATTGTTACCGTGCATTTGTATATGATTCGAATAGGCCTTCTAGAAGGTTCACTTTTGG